GCTGGAATATCTGTTGATGGATTGTGGTTCTCTCCCTGCTCTTTACGTGTTATTGGGAAGCAGCTATTAGGATGAATTTGACAACATGTCCTAAATGGAGACATGTGGAGTGATTTTCACAAGCAGCGCACTCGTATTTGTCATGCTGTATTTGTGTGTCATGTGCTGTCCTGTCGGTCTGTGGCCCCATTTCCAGTAACAGCTGTGCAGTGAATAATCTACAGTGATTACAACCAGAAAACCTGCAGGTTGATTGACAAGCTCATCCCACTTTGAGATTCCTGGAGCCTGAGATTGCTTCAGTGCACTGAAAAATGCTTGCAAGCATTTCGTTGGCATCATCAGGGCTTAAACATAAACCTGAGTGTGTTCCTGTATTTGGGACTAGGAAGATACCTTTTAATTGCATAGAAGGTGGTTTGATCCTTTTAATGTCTGGACCATTGGTCCCACTCCTGTTTCTGGTGAAAGCTTATCTGCACTGAGGGGGTCAGCAGAGCTCAGACCTGCTCGCTGTATGTTGCAACATCGACGCCAGGCTTGTGCCATCCAAAACACATCTGCAATGCTGGTGTTTAAGACATAGGCTCCCATGGATGATGTTCCTTTCCGATCCTTGACTGTGATTGCTTTTTAAATGAGCTGGCCAAGACAGGCTGCTGCTCTTACTTTTTCTCATTTCACTTAACATTTTTACTCCGACTGCATCCCTCTGACCTGAAACAGCTCTTTTCTGAAGAAATCTGGGTGGTTTTGAACAGATGTGGAGACATGACAGAGTTCATTTAGAACATAATCAACAGATAATAATAGGGTACTCAGAGAAATTGCAGTGAATGACAAGTACCATCAGCCTTTTCAAAACAGCAAAATTAGACATTTTTAACTCCACACGCGTAACAGTGCTAGAAGAAGCAGGAAATGGCTTATTTGGAATCCTTTTATTATGTTCTAGTTTTTAAAAAACGACATTGTAACATCTCAAGCATTATCCTGATCCTTGTCTGCTCACTGTCTCTATAGGAGATAAAATACTGTTCCCTGTGTTATTTGAAACAGACTGGCTCTCTTGCGTACTTAGTTGTGTCCTTCATCTTCCTCCCTCAGGCTTGGCAGTGTTCAGCTTGTCAGGATGAGGCCCCAGCATCCCTCATGCATGATTTGTGGTTTTCATTGCTGTAAAGATCCATCTGTTCTATGAAACATAAGCCTGAGACTTCTACAATGCAGTAGCTAATTGGAGTACTCAGGAAGGTCTGAGTACTGCAGAGAAGACTGAGCTGGGGTTTGGGTCTCCAGGATGAGTTTCTTGAGGTGATGGAAGAGAGGACCCCAGGCTTCCAGCCAGGATGGTTCCCCCCAGAAACATTCAGACCAGGAAGGCCATGAAGTGCCTGGTTCAGGGGATGAACCCCTGTGAAGCAGGGACTGTCCCTTTGCACCCCAAGACACAGTGGCTGCCTGTCCCTCTGTCTCCTGACAGCCACCAGCAGTCCTCGGGGCTCTGATCTTCAAAACCTTGCTGTAGGAAATGTGTCCTGGTTCTCCTTCACCTCTTCCTCCTGATGCCTCCCCCTCTCCCTGCGGCTGCAGCCACAAAAGGGAACCTCTCCACTGTCAGAGCGCTCCTTTGCGCAGGGAGCGCAGCATCTCAGATGCTTCCACATGTGTGAAATAGAGGCAGTTTGCACAGCACTGGCACATACACTGATACAGTTTGCATGCTTGGAAATCCTCTTGGCTTCCTTGAGTTTTTTACCGTGTATCACGAATTGCAACTCAGTGTTAGGTCATTTCTGCTTGGGTCATCAAAGCTGCACTGTGCACACCGGGGTCAGGAGGAGCTCGGCTGTCGGTCTCCTGCTAACCTCAGCTTAAAAGCACAGCCAATAGCATGTGCTTGCAAAGGGAAAGACACTGAGAGTCATAGAGCGGCTGTGTTCTCTCCCTCAGACTGAACGGAGGTTTCTGTGCTGACTATGAGCATTAAGGAAGCCAGGACAAAGATGACAAATGCCTTTGTAAGAGGAATTGTTAGAAGGCACAGCAGGCTCCGTGAGCATCGAGGCTTGTCTTAACACGTGAGCAGTTGTCTGAGAGCAGTAAGCTGCTGTCCTGCCTGGCTGCAGATTGGCTGGAAGGTTTTAGTTTAGTTCAGTTTAGAAAGCCTGTACCTTTGGTCGAGTTCCTTACTGCTGTTGTCTGTTTAAACACTGGAGTAAACAATTTAGACAAAAACATCATTCATAGTCTCTGCAAATATACAGAACCAGTGAAAACATGAGGCTTGGAGATGGGAAAAAAGTTGGGTCTTGATGGAGCTTGCCAGCTGGGAGCCTGCCATTTGCAGCTGCCTTAGAAGCACTTTCTAGTTGCTAACTAAACTTTCTTTAAGGATTGAAAGAGGAAAAATCATAGAATCATAGAACAGTTAGGGTTGGAAAGGACCTTAAGATCATCCAGTTCCAACCCCCTGCCATGGGCAGGGACACCTCACACTAAACCATGGCACCCAAGGCTTCGTCCAACCTGTCTTTGAACACCGCCAGGGATGGAGCATTCACAATCTCCCTGGGCAACCCATTCCAGTGCCTCACCACCCTCACAGTAAAGAATTTCCTCCTTAGATCCAATCTAAACTTCCCCTGTTTAAGTTTTAACCCATTACCCCTTGTTCTATCACTACAGTCCCTAATGAAGAGTCCCTCCCCAGCATCCCTATAGCCCCCCTTCAGATACTGGAAGGCTGCTCTGAGGTCTCCATGCAGCCGAGAAGAAATAATCTGAGCTAATACATACAAGTTGTTCAGATGATGCTGGAATGGTGATGAAAATGACTTAAAATGTGCTGGCTAAAAGAGAAACTTGTGACCTTTACAAACAGTACATAGAGAATGGTATTAAAACTTAGCAGACTTCTCACCCTTATGTTTATAAACCAGCTGGGTTTGTTAAGAGTCTCCATCACCTGTGGCATGTAGGCATTTCATTCCCAGCCTGCATCTATTTTCAGTTGTATCTGTATTTGCTGTCTTTTACAATTCCTATAGTTACTTCCAGGCTGATGTTTTTGTTTGGGCATCTATTCTGTCAGTGAACAAATAAGCTTTCTATTTATTGAAATTCATTTTGGTATGGTGAAGATTAAAGCATGGAATTGATTAGAGAGGAGCGCTTTGAATCCATAAAGTTCTATCCGTCTTTCATTTGCATTTCAGACCTGACTTAACCCTGTATTTTATAACATTCACTCTGCAAACCCTATCTCCACCTAGCTTTAGATGCAAATGTGCAGCCGTTTTCTGTGTGAACCTTGAGGACATCTTAAATCTTAGTGTATTAAATTGGCACATTTAGAGAAGGCTTGGTGCCCCACTTTCTGCAATGGGGCATGCGCCTCCTCTACCAGAGGTTAACATCTACTCATTCTGATGTCTCCTTTTAATGAAGATGTGAAGTTCTTGCTGATCTCCATGTATAAACCTGTGGTCTGATTACAGCACTCAAGGAAGAAAAGGGAAACCCAGACTTCAATCTTTTTGGTAGACGAGAGGATGCGAACACACAACTTCCACCTTGTAGAAGGTCTCACTACTAAAAAGCAGGCTATTCCCTAGCTCTTCCAGTTCCTGTGAGAATGCTCTAGTCCCAGCCCTGAAGGTGTTTCTGGATCTAGGAAACAGCTATTCATAACCTTCAGCATATAGGATAGCACAGCAAGCAAAGCTGGGATGCACGCACATGCATTAGAAGGAACCTCAAACCTATGACAAAGTCATTAAACCAGCTTACTTCAAATATTCATTAGCAAGAGCATCTCAGTTCTTAAGGGCAAAAACTGTCCAAAGACATTTAACCACCTCTGGTAACATCATATCTTAGACACTGTTGTTCTACCTATCTAATGAGCGTTTGCACACTGCTGAGATCTTTGCCTAACAAGGAAGGCTAATATATTGCTATGTGTAAATGTTGGAATTAATAATTTAGAACATCTAGGTGTAAAAACCAGGTTACTTTCATCATCCCATCCGAGCCAGGTTTAACTAATTTCTTTTCTTGGCTGCTGCCTTAATTAGATAAACTGCTGAATTTAATTAACTCATCAAACCTAATTTGAAAAGCTCTCTCAAGTCAGTAAGAGCTTGTCTTATGCTTATTATTTCTATTTGTTACCTCAAGTCCTTAATATCACCATTTTGTTCGGCTATTAATGGTAGCCTTAATTCTTTTCTAATTTGCTGCATTTACCCAGACAGTGGCATTTTCCTCGTTTCTTAAGTATCAGCATGTGAAGATCAATCACAGTTTAATTTAAGACATTGAAATTGCTCTTCAACCTCCCTATCAAGTCAGCCATGTACTGTCTCTTTTCCCATAAGTGTAATTTGGGTTTGCAAGGTGAAAGTCATGTTGTGTTTCTGAAGCCCCATTTACTGGAGAAGTGTTATGACAGAAATGATCCTCTGGATGCTCTTTTAAGACTCTTTAACCAAATTATTAGGTAATAAATTTGAAACTGAAATTTCTATTACAATGAGGTAATTCATTTGAACACATCTGTATCTGATGCTTCAGCTTCTTGTACCCATTCGAAGCTCCTTGGTGGTTACTATAGAAAGAATTGCTAGCAAAGAATTTAAGTTCTAAAATTTATCAGGGCCTTTGTTTGGGTATGTTTTCACATTTCTAGAGGATGCACCACACAGAGGGGAGAGATAAGCAATTGCTTAACATCAGTATTTGCCTATACATTATTTACTTGTTCTGTAAAGCATGCTCTATTGTAATGTAAACTATGCTGCTAGTAGAAACATTGCTAACTGAGTCTGAGAGAGTTTCTGTATGTGAAAAGCTAGCTACATCCTGGGTGGAATTAAGTTTTTTCCTACTATCCCACCTAGGGTTTTTTAACAGAAAAATCACAGTTCCTCCCTCTTGCTTTTTCTGTTTATTTGAGTTAACAATTAAATAGCTTGTTTTTCTCTGTTTTCCCTTAGAATGACTATAGGAAGCTATCTATGCAATGCAAAGACTTTGTTGTGGGGGTGCTGGACCTGTGCAGAGACACTGAAGAAGTAGAAGCTATTCTGAATGGAGATGTGAACATACATTTGTACCCCGAGCACCACCGGCCAAGTCTGAGCAGGATTAAACTTGCTATTAAATACGAGGTCAAAAAGGTAAGGCACTGCTTTGGGTTCTTGGTGAATACATCTTCACATCTAAATTATGCTTCCTTGATGTCTCCTGAAAAAAATAATAAATAACAGATAGATTTCAATGGGACCAGGACAATTCCTAGAATTTTAGCAATTTATGGCTTGATTTGCATTTTCTCACATACTTCACTATGGAGAAGGCTATTTGCAAAAGGTACATTATAGCAGGTATGGCATCTGTTTTAATGATAGGCATGAATGTACAGATGGCCCAAAGGAACTGCCCATAGAGCACAGTGCATCCCTGTGCTGGCCACGGCGCTGAACTTCTGAAGACTTCAGCAGGGACCAAAGTTGTTACTGTACCAAACTGAGGCTCTTCCTTCCTTCACTGTGATTTACACAAAGGGGTGAAACTAGCATTTTAAAGTAAGAAGTTTTGTGGCTTTCATTCAGAATTAGATCAAAACCTCCAGAAATCAATTTCTGTTCAACTTGGAAAAGTGAAAGTAGATAAACATTGATGAAACATGATACATTCCCAGCTTCCTCTCTCCTAAAGTTTCAGAACCATATTCTAAGAGCTCAGTTTTCCCCACACCCAGAAAGCAGAAGGAAGATGTATATTGTAAGGAAAACCATGAAGACTGAATGATTTTTAGAAGTGTTTTAAATGAGAATTCAGCTTTACAGAAGTATCTTGTATGAATTGGAAATTTGATTCTGGCAAATCCTAGGCCTGGGTGGTCCCAGCTAATTGCTCCTACAATATGCATTGATGGCAACTGGGCTTCTGCTACAGGACTTGAAGAGCATTCCAAATTTTCAAGCTAACATCTGCTCTCTCTTTCCTCTCCCAAACCCACCACCTGCTTCAGTTTGCCTCTTGACTGTGCTACTGTGCTGGCTAAAGGAGGTCTTTTCCTGCTATGAAAGCCATTAATTAGAGACTCTTAAAACTCTTATTTGAAATGAGTTGCTTTCATGCAGGAGCACATAAGATGGAGCCAAATATTTCCTCCTGCAATGTTGTGTCTGTGTCATTCTGTTACCCAAACTGGGTGTAACAGCTCAGTTCACTCTGAGATGTCTTTCAACAAGCTGAGTGAAGTTTAGTTGTTGAAACACTTGCTCTGGTGCTTTTAGAAAATGAGCTCAACTAAAAGTGACTGATAGCACCTGAACGGAATCAAGCCCCCAGTATCAAGCAATAGTCCCCAGTGACCTAGGGTCTAAAAATTATCATTAAGTTGCTCAGAACCTCAAGCCTTTTTCCATGTTTGAAGTCTCCTGCACTATTTTCTTTGTTTATTCTTCTAAATATTTGTGTCATACATTAGATACAAAGGCCATAAGCCAGAGCTAAATTGCTGTTAGTTATAGTGAAGCTTTGAGCACTTTCATCCTAGCTCAGTTGGTTTCAGAGGAACGTTTCCTCCATTTCTAGCATTGCATATATGCATGAACACCGGCCTAAAGCATCTGTGGTAGGTCATATACAGTTGATTTTATTATATATAACTATCTTCCTATACCCAGGAAAGCTGAGCATCCGTTCTGGATCACCATAACTTGTTGCTCACCTATAATAGCTACTAAACTAATTACAGAACAGAAGCATTTGTCAGCATCACGCTGACTTTCAGATTAGCACTTTTCAGACTATTCTCTTCAGCAGGCAGTATGCATCTATATGTAAGATGAGCATTTAACTGCTAATTCAAAAGTCAGATTGTTCCAGTTGTGGGAGGCAGAGACATGCTCAGATAAATGGCTTTGGTGACTGGATGTGACATGATAATAGACAGATCACACTTGCTGAACACAGGTTGCATTACGGTAATATAGTAATGGTTTCCTTTAGAGGCAGTACATTTCAGGTACAAGTTTTTATTCAGCTGGGAGAGATTTAAGCTCATGTATACAACCAAACTTTGAGATCTGTTTTCATTTTAAGAAATGAAATAGAATGTAGATAGTTACAATATGGGTAATTATAATATAAATAGCTAATAGTAATAGATATCAACCCCATAATAGAGTGGCGAGATGGAGGGTGAATTACTATACATATTTAATAAACCAATTCTTGGACATATTCAGTAAATTTCAAGTCTCTTTTTCAAAGCTAATGCAATGACTCAGAGGCGTAAGATCCTACGTGGCCCTCCAAGTGTGAAAGGCAAGAGCACCAAGTGACTTCCCACCCCCAGCACCTGAACCCCTAAACCCCATTGCTTGGCCTCACAGTGCTGCCTGCCCAGGCCAAGCCCTGGAGCTGAGATGTGGGTGGCTGTAGCTCACCCAGGAATAGTCCCAGGGATATGGAGACCTTGCCAAGTTTCAGACTGTGCTCTGGGACTCGAATGACACATAAATTCTTGTGTTTGCCACTTTTACTGTCCTGGAAGTTTAGTTGGCAGGATAGTAGCAATGAAGGGACTACTGATGTGCCTGCCATCCCTGCTCCCTGCCTCCACCATTAGCATCAGCATTCAGATGGTCACTTTTGTATTCTCCAGCTCAGCAAGCTTCCAATGAGCCAGAGAAATAAAGATGTTTACTTAGATTAGTATAGAGCTCCTGGTGTATTTTGTATTGGTTCTTCCCCATGAACATCAAGAAGAATCCTAGACAAGGCAATTTTAGATATTTCAGAATGGTCTGAGAAAATAAGAAGTGTTAATTGTTATGGGTTTTTTTTTCATTATGTTAGTACCCAGACTGCATATTTGCATTCACATCTGAAATTGTAATAAAGATTTGAAGTTTAAAAAAGTCTATTTCTACCATCAGCTTCTTAATTCACATTTTTATATTAGCACTCAAAGGGCCTACAGTAGGTCTTCTTTGATGAAAATTTTCAGAGAACAATTTATATTGAAAATTGTTATTTAATATCCATGATTTTACTTTTACAGCTGCTGATGCAGTCTGCATTTTCTCACACTTATTTCCAGAGTCTGGGAAATATGCCTTTTATGTATTTAAATCATCTGTGACTTTTTTGCTGACTTCTTCCTTGTGCCCATCTGAACATTTTAGGGATGCAGTTTGATGCTATGTTATGCAGTTTAAATTTTAAGTCCTAACTTTAGTCCTAAGTTTTAAGTCCTAGCGTTCCAATACAGTATGTTCTTGACCTTGAATTCAGCAGTTGTGCTCCCCAGTAATTCACACTTATTTGGAGGTGGATGTTACAAATCCTTTGCATGTTCAGTGCACATCATGTCTGAATTGCAGGGAGCAGCCATCAACCTTGTGGTAGCTTTTAGCCCTGAACGCTGCTGCTTGTGCTTCTGGTATTGAAGGTCAAATCCCTGCTTGAATATCCCAAGTCCAGGGACAACTTGCCCTGGAGATGGATGTTAACAGACTTGTTCACTGATCGTGCTCTACTGGTACAGGAAAACCTTGTATGCACATCAGGTATAAAAAGGGGACTGAAGGCTTCCTCTCCTCTAAACCTGCAACTGGTACCTACAGTAGGTTATTGTCCAGGCCCTAAATGATCCTTCGTGCTTCCCATTGGAGTTCCCTGTTACCTCACCCCTCTGCCACTCCAAAAAAGGCAGTTCTCTGTTGAAAGAATGGGTTTATTGATCACTGTCTTTTTTTCCCCATTTCCAACATTTGAGATGAATCTTGGAACGTCGTTTAAGAAAGCATCAAAAGTTCCAGACTTCACTTGTCTGTCTCTTTGCTTCCTTTTTTTTTATCCTATAAGGCATGCTACTAGCACATATGAGATGCTGGCAAGAAATCATATTTGAGGCTGTAACATAATTGAAGGGCTTTACCTAGGAGGTTATTGAGGAATTAAGAAACTCTGTTTGTACATATTTTGCAGCAAGGAGAAAGCTACAATTACAGTAGTTGACAAAGTGGTATTTAAAAAGTGCTGTGTTACTCTGATTCTTTCTGAAAGAACTTGATAATCGCTGTACCCCAGGATTCTAGGAAAACCCCACTCAAATGTCCTCTGCTCACGATTTCATCCTTCAAATTGGCTGCCTTGATCCAAAATTCCTCGAAAATTATTACAAAGGGAACAGTTTGTCAAGGGCAAAAGGAATAATTTGCAAACACTTGAGCATCTACTGAGCCCTGGATTCTTTCCAAGAAATTGACTTTTAGCCCATGTCACCAGGATTGATGCAAATTAACCTTCATCTCCTCTGATGTTATTTAGCAGTGTTTCAGGCTTCCATTCTCCATTCGAGAAGTGATTTCTTTCTCCTCCAGTTGTGCAGAGCCTTGGGCAAAGGGAGGAGAGAGGTTGGGTGCATAAAGAGCCACAGAGCACACTGCTGATGCTGTAGGAAGCCTGTTCAGGTGGTTTCTTTGGGTGTCGTAGGAGAGGGCTGGAGAACTGTCACAGTGTGAAAGCAAATGTCATGGAGGAGTCCAACAGCTATAATGGAAATGGCAAAATTAAAAGCAGTATTAAGGTGAAACAGGAATTACGTTATAGTTATATATATATATATATATATACACACTGGTGGATTATAGCCAAAAATAGCTTGAGTTGCTAAATTGGAGTTCTGGTCCCAAGGAAAGAAATAAAACTGACCTTGAGCTTCGTGAGCTATGAATACTCTCATGTGTTCTTCACACAGGCTTACAACATCTAAGTGAGAGCTTGCTTCATGTTCTTGGGTGAAAACTGCAGAATAATGTTTTTTCTTGTCTTGAAACAGTTGAACAGTTTTGTTTTCAATCAGATAGTGGAAATATAATTGTAATGCAGGTTTTTCCTTTATGTAAGCCCATTTTTAATTAAGCCAGCATGTGATTTGTACCTCTGAGAGGCATAGGTACAGAGGCTGGGACAACTGTCTTTGACTGAAAAAATACACCATTTTACTCATGTATATCAGCTTTACAGAGCCCTTTGTATTTTCTATGCTCATTTTTGTCTGTATTGCTATGCTCGTTTCTTATTACCCTTTAATGTTGGCAGGGGGCTTATATATCAACAGCTCTAAAGCTGTTGCTTCTCTGTAGGAGATGACATT